AGCAGTGGGGGCAAACAGAGCTCTCTAGGGTAAACGAGTTTGTGGGCAATGTGGCTTTTCTGTTGTGACTTGTGTTCAAGAAAAATGTGAAGCCTTACCTAAAGGAATTGGGGTGTAAAACTGCCTGAGAAATCTTGTAAGATATAATTTTTGGAGTAGTGCCTTGCCAAAAGTACTTGGAAGTTGTAGTGACTTGAGTATAGGGGAGAATTACATTTGGGGTCATCTTTCTGTTCCTTTAATTGCCAAAACATAGAAGCTTTCATGCATGAGTTACAGAAAACGTAATTTCCAATTCCTGTTTATTACAGGAATTAGAAGTCTTTTATGAAAGGACAGACTTCTGTGTGGTTTCACTTTAAGGTTTAAGGAAAAAAATCATGCCAAATATGTTAGACTCACAAATGTTAGCCTACAGCACATGACAGCCTTCCTCCAGAAATCAGTCAAAGAGATATTTCTATCGATTTCCCTGTTTAATCAGGCTGATAGAGATCTTTCAGTATTATTTGAAACCTAGGTCTGAAAACTTTCCTGGTGAAGGAAAACTCCCCATTGAACTTGCAGTAGGACCAAACAGACTGAGATCTCAGTTCTTTATGGCATGTACAGGGGCTTTTAAGAGGGGAAAAAAAATGTCCAAATATGAATCAAAAGAGTTGAGCTTGGGGTGGTGGTGGTGAGAAGATTGAAGTAGAAGGCGACATTGATTGGTGTTTGTTTTTTTTATTAGCCTTCAGTCCTGTAACAAGTGCTGAGGCAGTAGTTTTTACTGTCTGCTTGGAATCAGTGCTTACAATCTTTTGCAGAAAGCCAGTCTTGCAAATACTTGTATCAGTTGGTCTTATGAGGCTGGCCGAGTGCACCACGCACAGTAAGAGGTTTTCCTCTTAGGTAGAGACTAAAAGCTGCTCTGGTTTCAGTTTGACTGCCGTAGTTCCAGTGACTTATAAAGACTTGTTATAGTGCAAATTGTATCACGTTTCACTATATACACATTAAAGAGGGGAAAACCAAAACAAACCCAGCTGATTACTGCTGGTTTCTTCAACTGCTTATCTAGTGAGATCAGGGGCCAGTTTTTCAGGTACTCAGACTTGCCTTAACTGAAGCATTATGTTCTTAGCTTTGCAAAAGAACCTCAAGGGTCTCAGCTGCAAGCCTGAAGTCTGGGGAAGCTTTTAATCATAACCTCGGGTAGGAGCAAAACCAACTAGCATGATGCTGTGTAAATAATCTGAATGCAGGATGAGTGCAAGTGGGTCAGTAGAAGAGAATTCATGTAGGATCCTCCCCTGCAAAGCTGGGAGGAGAACGTGCTCCAGTTAAGCCAGACATAGTAAGTATGTTAAACTTAGCAAAACACAGCTTTGTGAACTGTGGAAACATATTGTATGATATCTACCAGGACAAAAAGAGGGTTAAGAGCCTGCCAGGATAGGTGGTTCCTTGCACGTGATTGAAAACAAAGTGGGAGTGCAGAAACTGCTCTGCAGTGTGATGGTACCTGGGAAGTTTAGCAGCAGCGCAGCTTGCTGTCAGCTCCCACAGCCTGCATGGATGCTCAGCTCTTGCAAACTGGTGTTTGCCTGGGGAGGACCAAAGTTCTGCTTCCACTAGTTTTGTTCATTTGTATACTGTGAGAGATCAAGGGAGCCTGCAGCTTGTTTTGTAAATGCTGTCCATCTACTTTTACATTTTAAAATTAATCTAATAGACAATATAACACTTCTTCCCTCAGCCTTCTTTAAACACAAAGACATAAGGTACTATTCCAACAGCTTTCTTAAGATTTGATTGACCTGAGGCAAGAAACTTGCCTGATTTACATGAAAAAAATCCTTGATAATTCCAGTTTAGAGCTGTCCAGGTTTTGTGGTTGCATCATAAGCTGCTGTGCCTGTTGGCAGCTGCGCACGTGCCATCCAGTCAGCATCCAGAGCTTTGGATTAGCACTGCGGATGCTGACTGGTGTATCAGATGGTGCAAAAAAGTTTCCATAAGGTAGCCAAAACAGATTTCCATACTTGTTCATAAGCTGAAGGAATCCTGCTATAGATCCTCAACCAATTTAGGACTGTTATGTTTGTTGGTAGCTCTGTAGTAATCACTTCTTTCTTGTTCCTGATTATAAAACTCATTTGCTAAATAAAAAGAGTTACAGGAGGTAGATTGTTCAAGATACTGTTGTATCAGCCTCATGGAACAAATTCACAATGAGAATCACTGAGAAGATAAATGTGGCAGCCAAACATAACAACATGCAGAAGGTGGTTGGGTGCCTTTTTTTTAAAGCAGTGGGGATAAAGTTTAACCTGGCTGCAGCTGCCTTCCACATCTGTAAGAAATGCTGTTGTCTTTAGAGACGACCTTTCCCTTTGAGTAGTGCCAGTGACAAGATCTTGTTTTAACCTCCTGGTTGAACTCTGTGGCTGGAGCAGCAAGCACGACAACTCATTGCATGATTTTAGGGCTCATTAGATCAATAGGATGTCAGCATCCTGTCTGCCAGATCGGACTGCGAGCGCCCAAGGCAGACACACACAGTCATAAAGGCTTGTGATGGTAGGTAGCTGCCTAACAGAGACCTATCCAGCTACAGCATCTGCTTCTCTGTCTGTCACCAGGTTTGTCACTAGGTATGCCTCTGAGGCTTATATTAAATTCAAGCTATTAATTTAATTTTCTCTGGTTTCATTGCATCCATGGTGCTGTAATCCTGAGGTAAGAGACTGACTAGATAGAGCTGACTCCCTGCCCACCCCAACCCCACCCCCCCTTTATTCCTCTGAAGTGTTTTTGAAGAAGAATTTTTTGTCATTGACAGTTGGAATTGCCTTGTAAGCGAATGGTCCTCTGGAACCATGGCCTATAAAACAGAGGCAAAATAGTATTTTAAATTACTGCTTGTAAATGTAGTTTAGTTTGGATAAAGCAGTGAGGTTCATGTTACCTATGACTTCTAATTCCACATACTCAAGGTGGTTATGTAGAAATTATTTGACATTTACTCCATATGTTCTGTAGGACAGTGATTAGACCTACATGGGTTCATGTTCCTGACATAATTATATGCTATTGGTGGTAAAAAGTCATGAGTAGAAGTTACATTTATATCTTGTAAATTAAGTTGTACTGCTGCCTAGGGCAACCATAGATACGCTGACTTTCCTTCCTGAAGCAGGGGCTGTTACAAAGGACAGGGAAATGACTCAAATGGTTCCCTTCCTCTTGACCTCAAGGTAACTAATCAGAAGGACATAGCAGTTCTGACTCCATCCAGCAGCTAACGGCAGCTTCTGGAAAGTTTAAAAGGTTTACTGTAAGTAACCTGACTTTCCAAACCTGGTACCTGGCTTTTCAGTGAAGTGCCCTATGTTTTGGGGAAAAGTGTATTTTGGTCAAATGTATGTTACAGAATTCCCGTTTGAGGGGATTCTCAGGAAATAGTATCTTTAACCTGTTACTTTTAGTTCTGAGTAGCATGTGAGAAGCTTTTTATCAGCAATACACATTTTTGTTACGGATAGAAGACATAATCCTGCAGAAAGAGGCGTTGCACTGATTTGAGAACACTCTCCCAAAGTCTTGAACTGGAGCATAGAAGTTCCTCTAACACATTGCCAGTGTCCTCCCGCCTCACTGTTGCAACACGTTACATTAGTCAGGGCTCTGATGGCTTCCTCGGGGGTTTTTCTCCAGGGCTTATCACAACTGCTGCCTTTCTGATCTGGAAGGGAAAAGATGTCTTGGAAGACTTGGAGTGGGAAGACCGGTACGGAGGGCAAGGCTCACAGTTTGTTAGGAGTGGAGTAGGGTCCAAAAGTTCAATGGCTTGCTCTTACGGGATGGTTCTTTGCTCTGTTTGGTTAGTGACTTGCCAAAGATGTCCTAGAAATGTCCTAATGATAAGCCACCAGCGTGGCCAAATCTGGAGTTTTAGCCCAAGTGTGGGTTTTTTTTTCCTTTGAGTTCTGTTCCTGGGGTTCAGGCCATCTTTCTTTAAATAAACAAAATCCAACTTTTAGCCTTTGTGGAGACAGTTCATGGATGTGATCCAAGTCTCCCCTGGCAGAAGGTGAACACAGCGGATGCATGTTGGGCTGCCTCACTGCCCACTGCTTTGCCGTGCATCGGGGCTGCAAGCAGCAGTGACTTTTTCTTCAGAGATGTCTGGCTCTTGTCTATCTGTGTACAATAGCCATAGACATAGGTTTCTTGTGTGCTCTTGAATATAATGTCAGTACTTGTAACTACACGTTTTGGTTCTTTTTTTACTTTGAATTAATGTGACAAGTGTTCTTGTTTGGCTGGTTTTGGGGTTGTTTTTTTCTTTTGGTGAGGAGAGGAGGGATGGGTTGCATTATTTTCCCCTTTCCTCTCCTACAAAGTGTTCTGCTGACTTATAAGACAACTTAAAATGCACTTATTTTAAAATGTAGCACTTGAATAACACTTGATTCTGTGTTTTAGAGTGTGAGTTGTTGTATTGGAAAGGAATATATTTTCATGGCCACCTTGTTCAAGAGGCCTGTAAAACAGGTTTGACTTGAAGTGACCATTTGAACTTCACAAGGTAGTTTAATCACAGTGAAAAACATGTTTCTTTTTAATTAAAAATGTATACATAATCTACTTCCCTGATCCTTGATATTACAACTTGTTCTTGTCTCTTTTCTAGGAATGGTTTTTTTTGTTCTTAAATACTGGATATACTGGGTCAATGAACTGTTACTCCAAGAAGCAGAGCTGAGAAGACATTGCGGTGGCCATCAGGAATGCAACTCTTCTGGGAAGGTGCCTCATCTTGGGAAGCATGGAAATACTCTACTGTAAGAAAGCAATATTTGTGGCTCTTTAAACCACTGGCTGTAACCTGGTCCAGCTTTCTCAGTGCCTGCTGATAAAGACGTTTCTTCTCTACCTTTATACGCGAACTACAAGACTGTCCTCAGCAGGATTTTTCTGGACACTTTACCAACCCCTACACACACAACAAGATGATTGACTTAAGCTTCCTAACAGAGGAGGAACAAGAGACAATAATGAAGGTGCTGCAACGGGACGCAGAGCTTAAAAGAGCTGAAGAAGAGAGAGTCAGGTAAGGGATCTAGTGCTCTGGGTTGTCCTGGGATGACCTACACGGTTCATATACTAAGCTATTCAGAGTATAGGAGTAGATAAAACCAGTTTACTGCTGGGGCTCCGCCTTCCACAGTATGTGTAGTTTGGAGTTTTTTACTCTGGAGTAAAATTAGCATAGACTCTGGAGGAAAAGCCTCTACCACGTAAGTGATTAATTCCTGGCCAAAAGACTAACTGTTGATTTGGATCCTTACAATTCCCTAAGGGGCCAAGCACATTTGGTATGCATCTGGCTTGGTTTCCTTGGAATAGGATTCAGTTTTCAAGTATCAAAACCTCTGCAGAATGAACCGCTGCATAACCAGTGGGGGGATTTGTTTCGAGAAGAGCACCAGTGCCTCAAACAGAGTCAGTATAGATGCAGTATGTCTGAGTGATAACTCAAACACGTGGAGCATTTGGCACTGCAGTATGGAGGAGGCACTCACGCTATGCTCCATTACCAAGAGGAGTCCTTGTAATCTGTGGCTAAAGCAGAAGATTGCTCCCTGTTTTCTTTGGGGTGTCGCAGACAGAGCAACGTGGTGTTGTTCTGGAGTGTTTTGTGTGCTGGGAGGTTTTCCTGGAGCTACGATGAGGATAACTGCCATGAAGAGAGATGTATGTGTGGAAAGCAGCATTGCCCAGATGACTGACAGAGCCATCTACACAAGTACAAATAGCAGCTGAATAGTGGTTTCAGTGAATACAAAGTAAGGATTTTCAGTAGTCAGGCTATTTTTTTTTTTTTTTTCCCCAGTGTGAAGGAAAGTATTACAGGTGCACAAAAAGACAAGTGGTCAAGTAATGAAAAAAGGATCCTCAGATGCTGAAAGGTCAAAGTGCTGTAACACAAATAGATATTTACAGGTCTCTGCTGAAGCAGGATTTTCTTTCATTGATTCAGTAATCTTCTCTAGGATTCTTTCGCATTGTGATGTTCCTCATGCAGACATTCATTTCCTATTTAAATGTTTTGAAATTATTCCAACCACAATACATCTGTGATGCTTCTCTTCTGCTGAGAAATATTTTTTGACAAACACCCTCTGTGTAGGCATACCCCAAAGCGAATGAAACAGCAGCCTGCCACTTGCCCTGAGAGCAGTGTTCATTTTGATGTGTGTGCTTGTGCAGCCCTGGGGTGGTGCGTTCAGCATGTGGTCAGCATGTTGAATTACTGCTCTCGCTCCTTTCAGTGTAAGAGCAGTAAGGGGCAAGCCAGTAGCTTCTCTTGGTTAAAAAGGCTCCTTCTCTCAAGGCATTTGCTTCACTGAAGACTGAAAGTAAAATCACTAGAGACAATGTTGCTGAGTTTTTCCCCACTATCTTAATGCAACCCAAAGAGTGTTTTCATCACGTAGTTTTGTCTCCTGCTTCAAAATGCAGAAAACTGACTTTGCTGTACCACAATGAGTATCTTCTTTTCTTTGTTGTAAGTAGAAAAATACTGCCTTTGGTCTTGGAATGGTACAACAGTGCCAGGTCTGAAAGTGCTCAGGGAAAGTAATTGTAGATGTGAGTTTGAAAACAGTATTTGGGGAAAGGAACCATTCCTGGAACAGAAAATCAAAAAAACCCACTCTCAGTAGTGGTTTGAGAGGGCTGTCGACAAATATTTTTGTCTGTATGACTTTGCTTTTTGCATTTGTAATTCTAGTTCAAGAGGGTGTGGTGGGAAATGTAAAGGACTGAAGGTTGTAGCAGCCTGTAATCAACATGTTTGTTTCGACAGTAAAATGTCTCTTCTGGTTTCTGAATATTATACCTTCTGAGAAGCTAGAAACTTACATATCAAACTGATTTGTCTGCATAGATATGGCATGTGGAGCTTGCTTTTTATATATCATATATCAAAACACTACCTGAATTTTATCTCCAGCCAAGGAGATGCAATAGATTATTTTGAATTCTACAGCCTTGGACACCTGGAAGATTCCGGGAGCTAGGTTCGAATGTCATCATGCAAACATCACACGCTGACAAAGTGTTGTTTGTATGTGTATATAGTGGAAGTCTTTGAATGTGATCTTTTTTCCTCTAGAAGAAATTCTGAGGTTTGTAGGGCTTTGTCATACTCTGTGCCATGTTCCCGGAGCATGGACAAACTGGTAACATGACAAAATCCTCTTTGAGAAACTTCCCAGTGGAATTTTACAGATCAGCTGATGGAGTCCCTTCTCTACTAGCAGATACTGCCTCTCTGTAGTGAAGATGCTTAGACTGCCCCTCGCAGCCTCCTTAGGCAGTCTGCTTTAATTCTTGCTTGGTTGAGTGCTGTAACGGATGTTTGCCTGTCCTGCGGCTCCTCTTGTGTTGGTCTGAATTGGGCTGATGGTTTCAGAACAGCACTGTTTTCGGACCAGCATGCCTGCTTCCTCTTTGACCTCTGCTGAGGTCTGTCCCAGAGAAACTGTCATATGGACATTTTCTTCTCATGGGCAAAAGGGTGATGAGGAAATCTCAGATGACAAGAGTATGTGATGCAGGGAAATCAAGAGACATTGCATCCTTCTTTTTTTTTTTTTTTTTTAATTATTCGTAGAGCGAGAAGATGCCTCTCTGCTTCATTACCCCAGGAGCTGCTGCCAGCCCCTGAATGGCAGTGTTCTTGGCAAGGGGAAAAAAGGCATAGAATGGAAGAGCTGAGTGACAGCTTGTCAAGATTAGAAGCTGTTTTTCAGCATATTGATGACTTATTTATGTTGTTGTTGACCTCATTCCTGTCCAGGAATATATGCCCTGCTCCAGCTGGGGTTTGAGTATTGAATAAACCAGTGGGCTAAGCACATAACTGAATTTCCTGGCGGTAGCTTCAGCATAGCCCCTAACTCTTTCTACCCTTGTGTAGTTCTAAATTAACACTGCGCCCGGCCCTTTCTGGAGACAGTGGAACAGAAATATATCTGAAGTTCTGTATTGTGGTGGCCCCCGGCACCAACGTGTCTGAGGCGGAAAACTGTTGTGGTCACTTTTGCTGCAGTGTTCCCTGCAGTGGCTATCGGCCCTTCCCAGCAGAACCTCCTGACAATGCTGCTGTGGGTTGTGCTTGCGGTTGTTTGCTCCTTGAGTAAACTGAAGGAGGTTAACGATAGGGAAATTCTGATGTGGAGTTGTTTGTGTGGTGGGTGGTGACCGCTGCATGCCAAACGCCTTTAAAACACACGTCGGTGTGGCACTGCAAAAAAAGAGATGGCTGCAGGGGTCTGATCCTGCTGCATGCCGCATACACTTCACCTTTCTCATAAGGTTCAGTGAGAGTGGGTGGCTGTTGAAATCCTAGTGTGAATGTTTGGGGTTTTACTCCAGTCAGCTTTAACATATACCCTCTGGAGCATCTTTTCGAGGCACTTTTCCTTATATTGTACGCTATCAGAAGAAAAGTTTTGTTGTGGTGCTTTTTGTTTCTTAGGATGGGATATATAGCAGCTTTCCAGTACCTGAAGGGGCCTACAAGAAAGCTGGGTGGGGGAGACTTTTTACAAGGGCTAGTAGTGACAGGACAAGGGGTAATGGGTTTAAATTGAAAGTGGGGAGGTTTAGATTAGATATCAGAAAAGTTTTTCATGGAGAGGGTGGTGAAGCACTGGAACTGGTTGCCCAGAGAAGCTGTGGATGCCCCATCCCTGGAAGTGTCCAAGGCCAGGCTGGATGAGGCTTGGAGCAACCTGGTCTAGTGGAAGGTGTCCGTGCCTATGGCAGGGGGGTTGGAACTAGATGATCTTTAAGGTCCCTTCCAACCCAAACTGTTCTATGGTTCTATATTTAAGGTATTGGTGGAGATGGACTTATCACTGTAGTGTGAAAATGATATTCAGTGACTGTTGCCAGAATACATTCTTAAAATCTTCATAAAATACTTTCCTGTTAGATGTAACAGGTTTGAGGGTGCACTCAACAGAGGCAAGGTTCTTAGTGGAGGTTTTCGGCAGGGCTGACAGTTCAAGTTTAAAGGGCTGATTGAAGATAGAAGAGTTGAGGTGCTGCCAAAGCTAACCTTGTTTCTGAAAAAGCATTACCTGGTTTTCCTACTCTGCCTTCAAGGTATTTCTTCCAGAAATACCTCAGTAGCCACTCAAATGATTGTGGCAGCTTGGTAGTGTTTGCATACTTAGGTAACTAGGCACTAATTAGAACTTCTTTTTTTGGAATTATCACTCTTTCTCATTGACATGCAATACATAAGGACTCTTTTCAAAGCTAAATCTGTAGGGGAAAAAAGTTAATTTTACCAGTGCTCCACCCCTTTTTCGTATATACCCCTTAATATGTACTATTTGCACTACTTCATGATAAAAGTTTGGGCATTTGTAAATGAATTGAAGAAGTGTGGATTACAGGAGAGACAAGAGCACAGTATATTTGACTGTGTGCTGCATTCTGTCCTGATCTGTAAACAGCACGGCCCTTCGTGTGTCTAATTGAGGTCTCTTAGGCTGGCCATCATCCCTTGTGACCCACACTGACTAGTTTTTGAAAGTGTGCTTGGGCTCTGGATTGGGGCTGCCACAAATAACAATAACTTTCTCTAAATTTAGAGCTAAGGATATGTTAAGATACTCTTAGAGCATCCTCTCTAGCAACATGATTCTGAGGTTCTTCTCAGGGTATTGATGTTATCCTTAAGCCTTGGTGGATTCAAATTAGTCCGGTAATAAGCAAATGCGACGTGTAAGAAAATAAAGCCTACTGCTCTTGTGGAGCTGACTTTAAAAACACATTAAAAAAAACCAAACTTGCTTTGCAGCATATTTAATTCTTGTATTTTTAGATCATACATTTGTATCAACAAGGAGCTTGCTTACAATGTGAGCAAAGTTTTTTAATCTGAAATTAATTCTACCCTAAGTGATTAAAAAAAAAATCTGTGTGTTGATTTGTTGTAAATGATTAAGAATAGGTGGTTTGAACTCTTGCTGAAAACTCAGACTGAGAGATCATAGTATCTCCTCTTGTCAAACAGAGAATCTGCTCACA